AGGTTAAGTTGCCAACTTATGAAGTTTTGACTGTAGGTTTGAACAGTGTATGGGAATTGATATAACCCAGTTAGGCTGTAGGAGCGACTGGATTTGATGTTGGAGACTTAATATATATATATATATATATATATATATATATATATATATATATATATATATATATATATATATATATATATAATATTCTCATCTAATTCTTGACATCACATCTATATTCTTTTTATCCTTATCTTTCATGACTTTTTGGTTTCTTACTTTTTCTTCTCCCTTCTCAACCTTCACTTCGTAGTGCGACGACTTCGATCAGCATGCAGTTACTTTAGGCCCTATCCTTCCTACCTTTGTCGATCATTAACTCTCATCTTTCGCACGAGAAGAGGGGCATACGCTGGACCGATGAAAAAACCTTAAAAGATCTGGATTTCGCCGATGACGATTTATGTCAAATGTCCTGTAGCACAAACTCGAAGATTTACTGGCAAAAACCAACAAGTTGATAGAAGAGGCGAAGCAGTGAAGGAAAACGGGACTTTCTTCAGGTGATGAAGATACTCAACCAACCAACAACAATATCAACAAGCGCCAATCACCATCAACGGGAGAAATCTAAACGAAGTTGTCTCTTCCATCCGCCTATCTACCTAGGCAGCGTCGTCTCAACTATCCGCGGCACAAGCACACATGACGACATCAAAGCCAGCCAGCCAGTATCGGAAAGACAGCAAGACAGGCCTTCCTGCATTAATCTGAAATCAGTGTGGACATCTGCTGCTTTGCACTCTACTCTACTCAGGAGAAAGCGTGAACAACATCCCGATTTCAAACACCAATTCAGTCAAGTCAGTGCTTCGATGTGATGGTTGAGAGACTTGGCGTGTCACGAAAAGCATTCTCAACAAGCTCTAGACATTCATCAGAAGCTGCCACCTACGCCCACTCGATACTCAAGATCAGATCAGATGGCCAGAAGGAACAAGAAACAAGGAACTCTGGTGATGAACTAATCAATCAACTAATCAACCATCACACAACAAATAGGCAGAAGAAGAAAGTGGAGATGGATTGGGCATACATTAAGAAGGCCGATTGGGGACATCACGCGCCAGGCCCTCGAGTGGAATCCAAAGAGGAAACGACGAGTTGGGCGTCTGAAGGTGACATGGAGGAGATCATATGAGGAAGAAATGAAAACTTGTGGGCAGTCATGGATCAAGGTTGAAAAGACTGCAGAGAACAGAGTGAAATGGCGACATGGTTCTGAAGCCATATGTTCCCCCAGGAACCCAAGAGACAAATAATAAAATAACAATAAATTTCCTCGTAACTTATCTCCTATCTGAAGTTTTATACAGATTGTTGTCATCTAGAAGATCATAACTTTCGTCAGTATTTCTTCTTATCAATTTGTTTAGGGTCAAATATTATTTCAACGTTATTTTAAGAATAAATCATCACAACTGACAACCTTAATGTTGGCTGTCAGTCGACGCTTGGGCTTCCCTCAACCTCCTGCTATTCACTGGCCAAGTAAACCAGCCTACAAAAATTTCCTACCTCCTAAACAGCATCCTGTACATAAGGATAATAACGTGCAAGTTGATCTGGATGATTTTCTTGGTCCTATAGGGCCACAGCAATCATCTGCTAGATATCAGTCTAATTATACAGGACCAGGTGGTTCAGCCTCTTTCGCTTCTGTTTCTTCTTATGATGGAACTGCTATTGCTAATCCCTTTTGGTTGTTCCCCTCCACTCCTTGGGAACCTTTCCTTCCATCTGACGCTGCATTTGAAACGGGTGAGTTTCCTTTTTGATTCTTTATTCAACCGACAAGAAAACGTATCAATACCTTATACTCCTCTTAAACGTAGTGTTCGGCCACTAACAAATAGACATCCTTTTCTTAAGAACCAAGGAAAACACTTTGATTTACATTTGTCTCCATGGTAGCTCAAAGAGACGAATACAGGTGAAAAGTCGTATATATAACTATAAATTCTATCCCAACTCACTACTTAAATTATCATCTAGTCAGAGCTGTAAGGCGATGCAGACTAGCTGGTTGGGGTCTGTAGGAAAAGAGAAACTAGCGGTTGGAGACTAGGTGATATAACTCAGAACCGATATGACTGGGACAAATGTATACACACTTTATCTTCATCTTAACCTGTAAGCTGGATTCAGCATTTTATCATTCCTCCTTCCTCTATTTTACTACTTTCTACTTCTTTTGACCAGTTTTTCTTTCTTGTTTCATCTTCCAGTTTATTATCTTGTTACTTGATATGCTGATATGAAGTGTGGTCACTTGGACCATTACTCAGTAATTCCTGGTCCTATGTGGATTTTGATTTTGATGATTCAGAATTGATGAAGAATCAGGTAGCATGAAATTTGATGAAGAGTTAATTGATTTCAACAATGAGCGGCTATACCATTCAATGAATTTCAAACGAAAATAAAGACATATTAATAATGCATTATTGTCTCGTGTTGTTTCCTTTGTTGGAATCTCTGGAAGTCGCTTGGAAAGAGTGTGGAATGCAAAAGTACACGCACTACGTTGTATAGGATTCATATTTTCAAGTTGACCGAAAACCATTCATACACAATTTTGTAGACAGCTTCCAGGCTGTATGTAACTCAATTGTTGTTAATTCAGAATACTCCCTGAGACTTTGATTTATGATAGTAGCTCTTGGACCATAAAGTTGAAGTGTACAGTATATGACCGTTAGTAATTTTTCGTTCGACTGTGTTCAATGTTGTTGATTTGTTTACGCACATTATGACAAATGGCTGAGCAATCAAGGTGTGTTCAATATGCACCATCACCTCTTCTTTCAGTGCAATATGACCTTGTACCTATTTTTGTTGAGGTAGTCATGAAAAGCTGCAGTAGCACTTGATAAGTCACGGTGGATCGGCATCCTATCTTACTAAGGACGGAGATCTAAAGTACTTTTTCTTAGCTACAGTACGTCAGCCGAAGTTTGCTGGTAACTGTCTTGATCTTGTCCGGTTTCAGAGATTGCAATCGGAGGCGTTGCAGTACTTTTTTCGATTCCTGTACTTCAAGGGTATGGTGAGTTTAGTGGAAATGAATGTATCAAACTTGTTTTTAGTTTTGAAAGTTGCAATAGCGACTTTGGATGCAACGTTTCATAGTTACTTGTTTTCGTATGTGTTACTGTCTAAGCACAGGTAGACAGCTGCTTATCACCCGCAATGCTTACTTTTGTGCAGAGCAACACCAACTTCGTAGAAACCACGCATCTCACTCTGAAGCTACATGAGTTGTCTAGGAAGAATCCAGCACTTCTTGTTGTACCCTGCCTAATGGGTACGGGATTCAGGGACGCATTCAGAAGCTACTGTGGGATTACCACGATTAGTTTGAACTAAGTGATCGTAATACCTTCACTCCCATATACGACAACATGAGGTCTGCCACATGTTCACTTATTAAAACGAATATGCAAATCGAGGTTTTCACTGAAACGAATTGTGAAGAATGCATCGTAAGGGACACCATAGGTTTATTTGTTGTCTCCCCAGATCCTATAACATGTAATTGCGGATTTCGGGTGGAGTACAGTTTGCCATGTCGATTTGCCATTAAATACTGTGTTATGAAGTATCCCTCTGGATGCAGTTTACGTTCCCTTCCGTTGGTTTATACAGGAAAATGAGCAGCACAGTATTCCTGTACTGAGCTAATTTCCACAATTAACTGTCTCCCTCTTCCCATCAAGAAACAAACTTTGGATGGTGGTTTTAACACTTTTTTACTAATGATCAGCAATTCCAAACTGTCCTTCAGGGTGCCTGGAACATTTTAGACAGGACACCTATGCCTATACACTCCAGTTGTGAATATACTGCAGCAGACATTTGGTCTAGGAGTTCTGAAGAAGAAATGGGAGTGGCAAATGAAACTGAGTGCCACCTTGGCAGTAGTAAGTAGAAGAATATCTACGCCAGTTGTGAACATTTCACAACTACCAAGAAAAAGACGAACTCACACAGCCATCTAAAGAAATGTTGACTTAGACGCCAGTGTGAACAATCAGACAGAGATAGCCACCTGAAACTGTGAAATCGAGCATGTGTAAGTGAATCAAGAGGAGGCATATGCGTATCAAAGTTTATGAAATTTTCTTCCATCATAAAGCACCAAACTTTATTCCATACTCCAGTAGATGAATTGCATGCCATTGTCATGCTATATTCAATATATTTCGTCATAAAATTCGTACTAAAGAGGATTTTGTCGTGAATGCTATACATTTGAAAGTAACTGCTGGTATCAAAGTAATATACGCAAATGACTGAAAAGAAAACAGGAAATGTGTATGCTTCGAACCTAACGAAAACAGAACAAGTTGCTTTTAAAACAATTTATGACAAATCAATAGGCATAGCCATAGCAGACAAAGACAGTGTCATAGTCGTTTTGAATAAGGTAGATTATGAAAATAAAGCATTTATGAAGAGAACCATAGCAGCTCATCCCAAGTAATAAACATTTGAGCATATTAAATAAAATGAAAGCTGAAACTTGGAAATGCAACGTGGTTTTCATTCGCTCATAAGACGAATACAGCTGGTAAATTCTACGGTGGACCAAAAGTTTGCAAAACGGCGATTCCCCTTAGGCCGTTTATTGATTTTACAAATTTAATAACTTATCGTGTACCGAAATATATAAGAACACTTTTGAAAACATTTCAATATAACACTTCTTCAAGTGTTAGAAACGCACAAGATTTTAAAAATAAACTGTTAAATATTAGCATAGAAAAAGATGAAATTATGATAAGTTTTGATGTAATTTCTTTTCCCACTGTTATACCAATATTTATTATAAAATAATTAAAAAAACTATGCTTAGAATCCATATATTTCACGTGTAGAGACAATGTACCGTAAGACAAACGGGGTTGCAATAGGTTCTCCAGCAGCTCCAATTCAGCCGAATATTTATGTGTGTGAAGGCTTTGAAAGAGAGAGTATTAAAGTTCTCAGTGCCAACCTGAGATTTATTATACGTATGTAGACGATGCCTTTGCCATGTTTAAGAAAGTAAACCAATGGGCTTTTTTGGAACATATAACGATAAAATTCAGTATTACAAGAAAATTTAAGGATAGGACTCAACTTTTAAGATTTTCTTATCCAAAGAATGAGTGAAGGTAAATGTGTAAACATACAGAAAATCGACACATTCTGAGAATTATTTAGACTTAGAATCGAATCATTCAATTCACATAGAAGCTACTGTAGGACTGAACCGATTAAATGAAGCCTCAAGCATTACAACCGATCCTAATGATTTAGAGAATAGATATTTAAAAAAGTTTTTAACAAGATTATCGGTCAGGCGAATAAAAGAACAAGTGGCGAAAATGATAAAGTCATTGGTATCGTGTATGATTTTATCATATCGAAAACACACTTCTGAACGGATTAAAAGAGTATCCGTCTCTCATGATACTGAAGTCTGTTTTAACCTTCAAATTCATTAGAAAACCTCTTTTTCAAAATGAAAGGTGCAATTCATAGGACGATGCACAACAACTATGTGTACAAAATCAAATATCTGGGATGTGAGGTTAATTATATTCGAGAAAGTTGTAAACTCTTAAAAATTAAGATGAATGGGCAAGCATATTTTGTACTAAACATTCACCGAAGAATCAAGATTAGCTAAAAGATTAGAAAAAGTGATCGGTAATAGCTGTGCATGTTATCGAAAGTTGACAGATGATTAAATTTAATACATTGGGAAAGGTTTTCCATTCATATGAAGAAAGATTAACCTCCGAAATCTTACATGTTCTAAAAACATTAATTGGTATAAACAGAAGGAACGGAATCGACTTGTTACCTATTTGGCAAACATTATTCCTACAAAAGCATTTATGATGAGGTTTTCTAATTGAAGCTTCAACAACAATGACAGTTACTGATTGTTCATCAATGAACTATTATTATCATACAAGTACGAGAAACACCATATATTCTACAATATACGCACACTTTGACTGCCCTACGTTTTTCTTCAGCAGATGACATTAAGAAGTATGAACTATTATTTTTTATTTATTTGTCGTTTGGGTTCCTAGTGCGACATACGGCTTCAGTAACACGTCTCCAGCGCACTCTGTTCTCTGCAAACATTCGAACCTGACTCCACGACAGCCCACAAGCTCTCATTTCTTCCTCGCACGACCTCCTCCATATCACCCTCAGCTGGGACGCCCAACTCGTTTCCCATTTGGCTTCCATTTGACGGCCTGGCCTGACGTGTGATGTCCCCAGTAGGCCTTCTCAGTGTATGCCCAATTCATCTCCACTTCCTTCCAGTGCATATTTGTTGAGTGATAGGTTGTTGGTTGGTTCGTTGCCAGAGTTCCTTATTGCTTATTCTTTCTGGCGTTCTCATCTGAGCTTCAGTAACGAGCCAGAGTAGGTAGTTGTTGATGAATGTCTGTAGTTTGTTGGAAATGCCTTTGGTAACGTGCCAAGTCTCTGAGCCATATAGGAGCACTGACTTGACGTTTGTGTTGAAAATCCGGATCTTGTTCCAAATGGTGAGCTGAGTGCAGATCTCCACACTGGTTTCAAGTTAATGAGTGCCTGTCTTGCTTTTCCGATGTTGGTTTTGACATCTTCGTCTGTGCCTCCACCGCCTGTAGTTGAAACAGTGCTGCATGCCTAGATAGGTGAAAGGTTACTTCCTTTAAGTTTCTGCCGTTGATGGTGATTGGAGCTTGTCGTTGCTGTTGTTGTTG